AAAAAAAAAGGCAAAGCATTGGTGGATCAGATGTGATGCATGCCAGAAGGTATTCGGTTTCCTTAAGTAAAAGCCAGTTACCACATTAATTAATAGTTACTGTTCAGTGATCACGTAGAACCTTTTGCGTGCAACGTTTCTGAGTCAAAGCCACGGCTTTCTTAAATTTTGATTGGAGTGATTGCGTTCTCAGCTACAAGTCTCGAAAGAGCCGAACAAAAATTAGTTTCAATGCGACCTGGGAGTCGTCCGACCATAGATGTGGGTTAAAATGAAAAGATAAAACCGAATTATGCCTTCATCTATGGTCGGATTTACCCGAATTTCAAGCCCCGAAAACAAAAGCACCCATAAAGATGAAGAAGAAAAATTAAAAAATACGGCTAAGCCTTCGTTTGTTTCTCGAAAATTGAATTATTTGAAAAAAAATTTATAGAGATTAATCGTTCATCTTCCTTATAAAAATGAATGAACGAAAAATATTTTTATCATGTACGAAAACATTTGAATAAAATTATTATCAATAATAAAAATATTTTCCATCAATTAATTATTTTAAGTAATATAAAAAATTAAACTTAAATTATTTATTTTTCGTGAAACAAGTTGAGCACGCTACAGTAAGTTTCTACGAAAAGATTGCAATCTCAGGACCATTTCCGCAAGTTTTATCCGTCCACCAGTCAACACACGACATAAATGAGAACTCGAATGTCAAAGTAGGGCTTGCTGGCACGTTTTAGATGAACAACAATGCCGTACACACACGGCCATCTTCGACCTTTAAATGTCTCATTGCATTGACCGTTTTTCTCGTCATTATATAAGCGCGTGCTTTGAAGGGAACATTACCAATTCAATCCTAAATTTATGAATTTTAATATATGTGCTAAATATTTTGATTGTTCAAATGTCGTTCTAAACTTTTGTGTAAAATTTCAATATAGTCAACACCACCATCAAACTCGTCGCCCTCAGACCAGCTAGATCTTGCAGTTTCACCACGGACAACATCGGACGCAGCATCATCCACCACATCTTAGCTGCTGGATGCTGCTTGGCTTGATTTCAAACTCAAGCTCACCTAGTCATCATGAGTCTGAGGGAGGATGTTAGAGATATTTAAATATCTTTCTTCTGATTTTTAATATCTATTTTGATTTTGCAAATCTGATTTAATTTCCTTAGAAAGTCATATATTAAAGCCTCTCCATGTATTCTTTTTTAATATATCGAAATATATGCAAATTCTTTATGTTCTCTCTTTCGCATTTTTACATTTAATTGTGTCAATGTAATCAACTCTTTGTGGGGGACAATCTTTAGTTTGAAAGAAAATCTATGAATTGATCATATAAAACATATGGGGCATCCCCTTATTCCTACTTGCGAAAATATAATTTCTAACCGTTTTGTACAAAGTAAAAACTATGTACCTAAACGACGACTTAATAAAATGAGTCGCAAGACATGGCGTAATGCTAATGAGAGTAGTGAATTGATTGAATTATTCGGTAGGTCGGTTCGATACACCATTAGATGGATGACATGTTTTGACAAATAGATTATGCACTAGTAATTGAACTTTTGTAGTATAGAAGGACCGAATTATTTTCTTTCTTAGTTTGATTTTCATGTTAAGCAAGGAGAACGCGATTCTCCATAAATTTCCTTAATTTATCATACATTTCTAGCAGCATATCGTCCATTTCATCATGAGTGAGTTTAGAAGGATTTAAATATCTGCATGGGATAAGGATGTAACTAAATGGAACCGAGTCTTGCGCAGGAGAATAGGAAGGCTCGTTTGACGTGGCAACTTTGACTTGTTCAAAAACAGACCGTTCGTCTCACTTGATAAGCTCGCTCCCACAGTTCAACTCCAAAAGCCTCTTGCCAGACCCGAAGCTCCTCCTCCGATCGCCTCCGTCGTACGCTGTTCAGTTTCCGCGAGAGCGGACCAGAGGCGTGAACCAAGAGCAGCGGCTGTAGCATCCTCTGCAGTAGGCAATTCCTTGATCTCCTTTGTTCCTTAGAGTACCGAACAGCAGCCTATTGCTGCTACGAGTTCTGGTAAAGCGCGACACAAGAACAAGAAAAAGGCTATTAAGAAATCGCGTGTTGATCCTGAGTAGGTTCTACACTTTACGTCCAAAAGGACAATCCGGATTTGTAATGTCAGATTGGATGTTGTAATGTCCGATTGGATGTGAGGTCCATGTATTTAATGGTTAGTAGTAAACGATCTATTCAATTAAAGGAATTTTGCTTTTTGAATTTGTCGGTTCCATGGCTGTTTATCTAATTTTTATGTATCTTTGTGGGATGATGATATTGCAAAGGTGGGGATAATTGTCCAAGTAGTTCTAAACCTATTGTACGGCGATCAATTCAATCCTAAGCCTTTTAATTGTGTCAATTTAGTCCTAGACCTTTTGACGATTTGCCAATTTAGTTCTAAACCTTTCAAATATGCCAATTTAATCCTTAACCTTTCGAAGATTTGCCATTTTAGTTCTAAACTTGTTATTTGGATAATTGGCCGAAACGATTACATTGACAAATCGTCAAAAGGTTTAGGACTAAATTAGCAAATCGTCAAAATGTTTATAGCTATATTGACACAATTGAAAGATTTAGGACTGAATTGGCCACCGTGTAATAAGTTTATGACTTTTTGGACAATTTTTCCTGCGAAGGCGTATCCCAAAGCTAGCACGTTATATTGTGGCAAGATTTTGAACTAGGAATGAGAAAGGACTTGTTCAATATCCCCAAGGTTGAATGGCATCTTTTTTGGGATAATGACACAAATAGTCCCTGAACTTTAGGACAATGTGCAATTTGGTTCTTGAATTTTTAATTTGTTCAATGTAGTCCCTGAACTTTAGTCTAATGTTCAATATGGTCCCTGAACTTTTAATTAATTCAATGTGATCCCTAGACTTTTAGTACATGTTCAATTTAGTCCATGAACTATATTAAAATGTTCAATGTAGTCCCTGAACTTGAATCAATGGAAGGACTACATTGAATATTTTCATATAGTTTAGGGATTGAATTGAACATGTACTAAAAGTTTAAGGACGGCATTAAACAAATTAAAAATCTAGAAACCACATCAAACGTTTGAATAAAGTTCAGGGACTAAATTGAATAAATTAAAAGTTGAGAGATAAAATGGTACATTGAGTCAACGTTCAATGATTGTTCGTGTCTTTTTCCCTCTTTTTTTTTATTATTATTCAAACTTCAACTCCCCGATCAGATTTCCTCTTCAAAACTTATAGAATGGTTTGATGTGGATATTTCTTATCTCTAGAAGTTTTCACTCCCAAATTTTTCTCTTTTCTTTTGATTTCGAAATTATTCTATCCCAATCTATCTCTTGAAGATAAAAGAAAAAAGAAAAAAAGAATGGAATTGATAGCTGCAGATAACCATTGAACCTAATAAACACCTGATATCGAATTTCATCAACAAAAAGTTCAGTGCGGAGTTTAAACTTGCCATGGCCGGTCACATCTTTAACAAGTCCCTTCGATTACAAGTAAGATGGTTCGTGATAGCACTGTGCTTGAGCCATGTGATTTACATGTGATGCAATGCTAATTGCGTTTTTCTTTTAAGGGGTTGGACCAAGCCCTAATTTTCTCATGCAATAAATGACTAAGTATGGTAGCCAAAATTTAAGTGTCAACACACGAATTAAACTATTTTTGCACATATCAAACTTAATTTTGATAATTCCACAAGAATACATCAACTTTTTAAAGAATACACCAACTTTTTAATATTAACCTATTCACCCTCTCTACATTGCACATTTAACCATAACACCAGGACATGGACGTCGAGAAACCAGGCACGGGCACCAAGCTCCTGTGGATGGCTGCCAGGGACCCAGGCATGGGCACTGGGGTCTCGAGCTCGGCCTTAAGAGACCTGGGGCCTAGCTTCGGTCACATGACCGCAGGAGTTGAGTATCTCGGCATGGGCATTGGGATCTTAGGCCTAGCCTTTATGACCCCAGGCGCCACCGCCAAAGAACCAAGCTCGGCCTCGATCAGCTCATGCCCAAGCGCTATTGACTTGGGAACGATAATCGGGTACTCGGGCATGGCCGTCGAGGAGTTGGGCACAAGCATTGGTGTCTTGGGGCATAGGTGTTGAGGTTGTTGTGCCTAAGCACGAAGATCTCTTGTGCAAGCACCGATATCTAGTCATATTTTGAAAAATAAATTTTGATTTTTTAAGAGAAAATCATTTTCTTGAATCTAAGTATGGGTCTTTTGTTGACTCTGAAAATATTTTCTATTGACTCATTTTTTAAGCATTCCAAACATCGAAAAATGAGGAAAATATTTTCCAGCGAAAATTTTTTCGCAAAACAAATGTCACCTTGTTAAGCGCACTCACAATACAATCTCAAGTCTACTTGTGGAAAGAAATTTTTTTACCAATTGTGTTTCATGTAAAAGTATAAGAAAATGATTTATGTTTATGCGCATGTTCAAGATGAGCTTCCAACTAGATTGATCTTCTTCTACATTGTATCATTGCGCACTAACATCAAGAAAGTCTCCTAGGATTTTCTCAGTAGGACCCTTAGATGCTTAAGTGAGTAAGTGCTCGAGAAAAACGAGAAAAAAAATATTTAGGCCGGAAAATTCTAGTTGTTTGGTTTAGAATGACTTATGTTAGGAGAGTCTTGCATAGGAGAATTGGTATAGGGTGAAGTAATAATTATTATATCCTAATTGGCCCAAAACTGAATATATTGACGGCACCACCAAATCTAAGAGTGCATTGGAACTGGACTTGCGTGATGCTAGCAACAATAACTCCATCTCACTGACTATTTACCCCCATTTTTAGATTCTGCATTAGTATGTAACAGTAATGGAATATGGTATTAATGAAGAAGATAGATGTTGTGAAGATAACGTTTTATGCACATCGTCACTTTATTTTATTTATTTTTGCAGTTGATAGAAGACTAGAACTGAAATTAATCCTTTATTCATAATTCCATTAGATATTGGTAACAAATGACAAATTAGATCCTGAAATTGAAAAAAATGTTGTCCACAAATTGGGATGCTCACATTATCATCGGCGGATACCACAATCCTATTCTTCTACAAAATAAAAAGAGATGGTTTTTCTCTGCATCCACTGTGGCCGCCACCACGAACAAGAATGTCATTTGCTCAGATGGAAATGCTGTATGGAACTCCCTTCCCTGTCACGCCGGGCTCGGAGAACGGCTTCAAGAGCTCATACGGCACGATCCCGGCTCCGCTCCGATTCTTGAACCTTTGGTCGGTGTTCCTCGCGTCGATGATGCCCTCAAGCTCCTTCAGCCTCCCGCTGAACCTCTCGAACGCCGCTTTTATCTCCGGCTCCTCTTTCCACGCTGGTTCCGGATCTTGTCCCAGGTACTCCTCATCCGGTGAGTGGTTTGACAACACGTCAAGGATCGCCATCACCTTCGTCGCCTGTATCTGCGACGGGAAGCACTTGAGCAGCACGCCCTCAGGCTTTTCCCAGAACATCTTGAGCTCTTCTTCGATCGGGTCCTCGACGGGCATCTTGGTTCGGGCAATGGTGGGCCGGTTCGGGAAGTAGCCGGCGTAGGTGTACTGGCCGAAGTTGACGGCAGCGTGGTGGCCAGAGGCGACCCAGACCATGGTGGTGATAATGTGGATGAGGTCGGACGGGGTCTTGAGGTCAGGCCACCCGGGGGAGTCTTTCTTGTCGCCATGGCCGACGGTCCGGATCTCGGTCCACCAGGATTGCAGCTCCTTGTCTGACGCAATGCGGCTCGGGTCAGGGTAGTAGTGGTTGACATAGTCGGTGACCCACTCCTTGATGGTGTCCCACAAGAGGAGGCCGTCGTTAGCGAAGGGGTAGTCCTCGATCGCTAGCTTGAGGCCGTGCGGTGCCGTCGGGTCCTCCACTGCCAACCCCCTGGCAGGATTTTAAACGATTAGAAAAGCGTGAAAAGTGTTAGGATGCAGTTGTTATATGGCTAATTTATTCTAAATGCGAAAAAAACAAAAAAGAGGTGTGCAACTGATCAATAGATGTACGATACCTGCTAATCAAGTCATTGGGCAAGGCTTGTAAGTCGAATTGCCACTGCTTGTCATAGGCGACGGCGCTGAGCTCCATGGAAAACTTGCCGGGAGAGAAGGAGCTCTCAATGATGCCCTCACCGTTGACGAGATACCCGCGAGCCAGCGCATTGATCTCCATCGTGTACCGGAAGTGCGGGTGCAACAGCTTGTAGATTGGGTGCATCTCGCTCAGTTGCCGATTTGCTGCTATAATGTAGGGTTCCGTGGCACAATGAGTCCGCAACCTGCGATGATCAAAACCGGAGAAACATCAATTACCCCATCAGCGCTTATGCAAATAGGAAATTACCTACATACTTAGATCTCACAATGAGCCATTAGCCCACTTCCTTACTAGTATACATCTACGTAATAGTTATAAGATTCTTTTTCCCCGTCGAAAAGTAATGATCGGCTTATTTCGTTACCAGTGGCTGACGAGCTGGTGGTATCCAGAGTCGTGGGCGAGGACATGGGCCTTGGCGAGCCGCCAGAGCCACATGCTAGTTGAGTGGCAAAATGGGGTGAACACCTGCTTCCATTGCGGCTTCCCGTCTTCGGTCGGCGGCCGGGTGAGCTCAATGGCAAGCGGTTTCAATGTCTCATCTGGGGTCAAGAAGAAGAGGGTCCTCGACCCGTACAGGGTTGTCCCCTTGAGTTGCCTCACTTTGTTCACGTACGGTAGGAACAGGTCGTGGTAGTCCAGCATGAACAGCTTCTTTTGCTTTATGGCCTGCACAAAATCCAATTATACCGAACCGGAAAGGCTTCAGGTCAAATTTCATTAGTTGGGGCGGTATGATTTAGGTTTATACTCGACCCTAGATTGCCGATAGGTTCTATTAGGCGAGAGTACTGTCGTACCTCTTCAATTGTCATGAAGCCTTTGATTTCTATTTCGACGATCTCTGTCGTGATGACCGATTTGGGCGGACCATAAATCTTAGGGTCAAGCTTGCTCTTCAAAGGCCATTCCTGAGTACAAATTTTAATAGCACTTGTTTATAGAAAGGATATACCCACCATGGTAATATGAAATACTTTTAGTCTTCCTAGGAAAATAATCATCACTGAACTAAATTAAGTATACGTGAGCAAATTATATAATTGAAATGTGTACAAATGCCTATAATTATTACCGTGACCAACTGGATCGTGTAGGGGTTGATTCCCGCTAGGGTTTGACGCGCGAACTCTTCATCATTAAACCAAAAGAATCTATCTCCTGCAGGGTGCAACAATATAGCTAATTATGATGCATGAGGAATCTCGGAGATATATAATTATCTCTGCCATATATAATAAATAATACATTATCCGTTGATTGACTAATGGAGTATTTTTCTAAAGAGAGAATGAGCGATTATCACGTAACTTTCTCCGAATAAATAATGTCTACTAGACCACTTGTTAGTTTCCTTTCATTGAACGCATTGAATCAAAGATACCGTAGAAACTTATGGGAGACGGCTGTCCAAACACACTTGAATAAGGACATAGAATCTGACTAAAGACAGAGGGAGAGAGAGAGAGAGGGAGAGCGAGTTTGCTTACGTTCCATGGTTTCAGGTGTTTCGAACCGCAAGATATCTTGGGAGGCATCGGTGACGGTCTTGACGAGCCGAGGGAAGAGGTCCTTGAGGAAGCCTTGCTTCCGCAACGGGGGCAAGTTGATGCCTTCGTTGAAGAGCTGGTCGATGGCTGTGAAGAAGGGGAACCCCAGGTCAGCGTCGACTATCGCCGTCTCTAGCGACGGCACCAGAGCGTGCACCACCGAATACACTGTCTTCGTCGAGAACGTCAAGCTCTTTATCGTCGAGAACTGTTCGTCTCGAGGCACGTATATGCTCCCGCTCCTCGATTCCGACTGTGGATCTGTTTGATATTACGTGTGAATGTTTAACTTGTTCGTTAGGAAGAAAAATCAAAATCAACGAGTTTTTACATTTAACACTAGCTAACATAGTACCGAGCTTGTAATTTATTATCCGAAGAAACAAATAGTTATAATCATTGATATACTAGCTAGGATAGTTTACACATTACATTAATAAAGATATGATGATAGCCAGAAGCATGCAAAGAGGATATGAAATTATGAATGGCTGATGTTTCTGTGACTATGATTTTACGAGAGAAGAATACAAAAGTTCCATTTTCCAATTGCTAATAGGGTTGAGCACTCTCAATCTCATGGTTCTCTCTCTCTCTCTCTCTCTCTCTCTCTCTCTCTCTCTCTCTCTCTCTCGATAAGGAATATTTCAATTGGTATCCATCACGTCATTTTCTAAATGGAGAGAGAGATAGAGAGCGCAAACTGGAGAGAGAGAGTCGCTTTTTCGTTCGAATATAAGCTGGCTGACATGGTGGGTGTCGCCCGGTGAATGGGACTTGGATTTTACCACGCTGGCATCAAAGCTCTATCCAATATTTTCTCCTGATGAAATAGTTAGAAGAGAGAAAGAAAATATACCTTTGGACTTATTATTTTGGAGTGCATTTCCCGTCCAAAAATAACTCTATTCAAGTCATACATTTGGCCTTTCGGCTAAATAAAGAAATTATACGAATGCGACTTACAAGCAAAAATGAAAATCAAAGAATTGGACTTCATTATGAATTTATATAAAAGTTCGCTGGGTTTTTAGCAAAAGGATTCATCCTAAAATAAAATAATAAATAAATAAAAAAGAATTCACAAGCTCTTTTCACCACCAATTATCTAAAGTAATTGGTGTAAGTCATCATTATGAAGTGATAACAAATGATATGTCGACTCACCGGTCCTGCACCGAGGGCGCCCGGTCCGGCACCGTCTGGGGTACGGAAGCTCTTTGCCACCAAGCACTGGTCTCTTCTTATCCGCACCGCTGTCCGGATTCCCGAGGTCGTTGTACACATCGTAATTGTATATCCTCTCGTACGACTCTCTCTCGCCTTGGCCGTTCCCTCGTAGGATCGCTAGCTCCTCCTCTCTGAGCCTCCTCAGCCCGCTTGGCGTTTCCTTCGGTAAATAGCACTGGCCCCACAAGCGTGGGCAACATTGAAAATCAAAATCATCAAGCTCCAAAATTTAGATCTATCTAAATAATACTCATAACTCAGGTAGTGATAATCGACTCCCTCTAATTAATCTTCTGATTAAACAGAATTTATTTTACAAGTTAAGGTGTGAAAATCAAGACCCGCGAAATTAAATACCCGATCCATCTATTGACCACGATTGAATGAGTGCATATACGATGGTGACCAGCTTTGATCTACTATGTTACCCAAAAGTACATACATTTTTTTATAAATTACCGCGGACGAAAGGGCACCTGTTACACATGCTGCCTTTAAGTCTTTTCTTTTTGAAAACGAATCACTAAATAGCAAAAAAAAAAAACAATGAGAAAAACCCTAGATAGGAAGCCATGTAGCTATCGGTATGATCTAACCTTATTGGTGAAGAAGACCCTCTTTTGTGGGTTATCGAACTTGGAGTGAACCCATGAGTCGCATGTGATGCTAAGGGGACCGCCCACGAACCCGTCGAGGACAATGTCCTTGAGGTACATCTCCTTGTGGTGCTCATTCTCCACCAAAATCGCCCCGACCTCCCCGAACTCCTCTCCGACCTCAAACTCGCACTCATAAGTTACCTCCTCCACGTTCTGGCTCTTCTTACGCGCGTACCCTTTGATCGTCCCCTTCTCTTGTCTCGTCTCTGTAAATAAAGCTCAGCAAATCAGGACTGTATTCAAATCTTGAGCATAACAAATACAAGAGATTAATTGTTTTAATATCATAACTGGAACCAAATTATAGTTGGCTCTCGCCCACCATGCGAGGGCTAGGGTTTGGTGCTAGGAAGCTGAAATTAAGCCATGACAGTAAATGGGGCGAATCTAACAAAAGATTGGCGAATCGGTGGCTCGGAGCTGAATATTTCTTCGAAGAGATAATGTTCGTTTTCGTGAAATCGCTTTCGGCTTAACTATAGACATTCGGCTGCTGTTTTTGGATTTATTTCATCTTCGAGGGACCATTCTAGAGCTATTTGCCCCGAACATGTGTGATATTCGATTGATTTTGCGAAGTTACATCCAGGCTATGTGGTTCCCTTCTTGTCCAAGATGCTCTCTAATTAATGCATGGTTGGACCACCTCTCTCTCTCTGTGGAAGGTCGAACATGGCAGGGGTAACGATTTAATTCCATAGTCTGTATCATAGCTTAAAATCTTGGATTTGGGCTGGAGTATAGTAAATTAGGGCAAAAAAGTTATAGAATGATGGTAGATCAAGAATTTCTAGACCTATATACAGTCTATTAATGTGGCATAATGAAAGTCAAGAAAATTACACCTCTATTAACATATTATTTTTTACATATAGTATTAATTTGGATAAAATGCATCAGATCTTTTAATACAAACCTCCACGGAGAATCTATTAATAATACGGTTGTTAATTAAACTATCAAACATCCTTGCTTGTAGCAAGTTATAAACGACTTTGTACTTCTGTGACTTATTCTCCGAATCTTAAAAATGCATTGTAGGCTTAAAATAAATGTTATAAACTCATATGATTCTAAATATCACAAGCTTTGTACTTTGACAATTATCAAATGTTTCACTTCAAATAAAAGTCGAATGATGAACATCATAATATATGTTACAAAGTAAAAGAGAACGTTTCGATCATATTCATCCTATATCTGCCCCTACTTTCTGTTACAAGTTGTGTTAACAAATTAAAGGTTAAATCTGAATGCTCAATACTTACCGGGGTCAAGCTCTGCACTAACAAGCTCCAAGAGGAGGGTTTTCCCCACCAAGTCAGTAATCTCATCGAGCCATCCCTTTATCCCAATTCCTGAGAACAACCCATCGGCTCTCTGTTTCAGGGTCACTACCGCTTTAACCGAAAGCAACTTCTCGGTAGTGCTCGGGCTCGCTATCGCTTTGATCTTTCTCGAGGCAAGCCCCACTCGAGCGCTTCTACGGCTCTTTTGGAGCGCAAGCGTGGATCGTACCTGAAAAACTGCGATCCCACCATTGCCTTGGCTAAATGGCTTGCTGAAGGGGAACAAGGTTGGGGAGGCAGATTGGGATTGATGAAGCTGTGGCTTCAACATGATGATGGTGGTGATGATCTTCTTTGTTGTGTTCTTGAAGGAGAGATGTGAAAAAAAGATGGTGTAGACAACAATTGCTTGAGACAATGGTTATTGGGACTTTGGTATGATGGGGTTTTGGAGAGTTGGCCTAGTGGTTTTTTTAGAGGGAGAGGAAGAAGAAAAATGTGGAATGTGCTTTGTTATTGTTCTGGGATTCATTTTGCCCTAGATTGCATGTAAAAGGCACGTGAAAACGAAGTGAGAAATGCGAAGAGAGGAGGAAAGAAGACGGTGGACTAGACTTGTCTTCGTGTATCTTTCAAAGGCTTGGGAAAATTCAAGAATAAATGTGTCTTGTTCTTGTGTTTGGAAGATCATCTTAATCGTGGTCGTACCTCGTGTTTTGCAAGTTGCGGATCTTTAATTGTGAGAGCTACCAGGTTCTTGAATTTTTGCTTGATTGTCTCTGACTATTAGTTATCTTGACACACTATGTGTTCTTAACCTTATTAAACGTGTCATGCATTCATTGCCAGACTAAGAGCCAAGTTAGTGAGGGTGGGTCGCTGCTCTCATGTTGCTCGATATAATTTTTAGAGACACGTTATAACTTACGAATTTCCATGAAAGTTCAGCGGCCTCACCTTCTCGAAGTTAGGTTTTTTCGCACAAATTTGTCTGTCTCGTCTTTCTTCAACTAAGTTTTTGTGCGCTAGTGCATGTATCTAGACAATTTTGGCATGATATTTTTGGGTCACGATAAGGATAGGGTGACTCTACGTGCATATATCTTGGGACTCTAATATCAAAATAGTTGACTGGCTCTACGTGTGACCTGCATTCCTTCCAAATTAACAAGACTAGTGGTTGAGAATTTTAGAAGCGGCCTCGCGATGAAACTTCGGACGAATTCTCTTTGGATTGGGAAAGAAATCGAAAGGTTGCACTAAATGCTCACAGTACGACGCAGCCACTTTGTATTTTCTCCTTGCAATATCGTAGGGGACAATCTTCGAAGGAAGTTCAAGACTTTTCCAACTTATGCAATTTAAACTAATCTGTACAAAATCGCGTATTTCAGCTTTTTAATTTTGTGAAATCATGCAACTTCATCATTAACGTGATTAATGATTACTGACATGACAACTTTTTTATTTCAAAAATGTGTACATAAGAGAAAAGCTGTTCACAAATACGATTTAATAAGTAATAAAGATTAAAAAGAAAGGTAAGAAAAGCTGTTTCAAGTCCATTTTTCAACATGATTTATGTCCGTACTTTAATTGGAGGTGTTTTGTGACTTCGTAAATCCCACATCAAATAGGAGAGATTTTCTTGAGTGATTCGTAAGTAAGATCCACAATCCACATGGATCGAAGCCATTAACGATTTTAGTCCAATATGCATGTAAGAAACTACATGAAAGGTGGCACGTCTCTAACGAAACATGCTTTTCAGACAGGGGGACTCTTGGATAGTGTTTGGATTTCTTAGGTGTATGTTCTTGAGTTAAAGGAAAATACTATATGATTTAAAGTTTTATTTCACATACTTGAATAAGGGATTTTAATGGGCTTTACATACATATAGTCTTGTTCCATTAAGGGATTTAATCTTTGGATAATTACAAAAAAAAAAAACACAGTTTTGCACTGACATAATCAAGTATCATTCTCACTTTTAAAATCCACAATTTTAATTATTGGGTTTTGCCGATTAATTAAACGATACGAGACCTATGGTTTCTATGGGAATAATTCCTGAATGGTAAAAAATAAAACATGTCAATTAGCACAAAAGTGGAATGTCTTGGAGTTTCGTATTCCGGACGGTGAAACACTTGCTTCCCCTGCAACGTGAACCATGCAAACAAATTTAGATAAAAATAATAATAATTACGATTCAACCCGGTTATATGCGGAATACACGATTCATGCATTGGATGGTAGTGACGTCAGAATTTGGACCCACCTCTGTTTTTGGCCCAAATTTAGATAAGTTGGCCAAGATCTCCACGTGTCCTTGGGAATTAGAAAGTTCTATCAATCACGTAGACCAATGTGGACTTAATCGATTAATCACAACGATTTCATCGTGGCACCCACATGATCAAAGGTTAAAATGGACTTAATTTACATGATTTCAAATCGAGAAATGTAATGACATGCTCAAAAGGTTAGTTATGGCCTTTTACGAAAGGGAGAGACGACTGGGATCTCATACGGCTCGGAAAATTATGAGATTCATGTTGAATTTCTTCGAAGTTTAGCACACGTGCACATACACTAAAGAACAACTCTTTTACACTTTAACCCTTTGCACAAGAAGTCCAATGGAGTCATATATCTTGCCAAAATTCACCAATTTTTCCTCTCATTCCTCGTACCTTTCAATTCAGATACGGCTTGTCGGCACCTAAGTTCTCTATTACCGGCTTGTTGACGGCGCGATTGGGTGACTAAATACAGGAGAAGGAGGGAGGGACCTCGTGGCCCTCATACATGTATGCAAGATAACACATGCCATCCATCCGGCCTAGCAATAGTAAGGACTGCTTCACGGAATCTTCTCCGTACGATTTTCCTTCTCCAGAGCCACGCCTTTCTTATTTTCTGAACGCGACTTGCGAGTCCTTCGCCATCATCTGCTCATTTTCTAGGGACGATCCCCCAAAAGGCAACAAAAATAAATAATTGAAAAAGACAAATCGGATGCCTCCTTCAACGGTCAGATCTACCCACAGTTTTGGACCCATGAAAGAACAGCCGTGAAGATGGAGGTAGAAAAGTCAAAACGATGGAGACGTTCCATTGTAGGTTTCTTTTAAAACGACTAAGAAAAATCAGGGATCATTTGCGCCGCTTCTTTTGGACCACGACCACCCACTCGATGCAAGCCACGTTTTAGATGAAGCACAATGCCTTAAACATGGTGCTTTGAAGGGAAAGTTACCAATTTCAATTATAAATCTATACATTTTGATATAGTGCCAACCTTTTCAATTGTTTTAATATAATCCTTCCAATTGATTTTCGCCTGAAATTAATAATATTGCGGTCTAATTATTGCCAGTCATCCTACGTGACATGCTGGTGATCTGGCATAGATAATTTTACTGTGTATTTTCAATTTTTCATTCTTTTTTCTCTCTTTTTTTCTTTTCTTTTCCTTTTACTTTTTTCTTTCTGCTCATCATCTTCTTCTTCTTACAATCTTTACTGTTAATCTTCTTCTTAATTTTTTTCCTCAAATTTCTAATCCTCACTTTGTCTAGGATGTCTTTCGAGCTCGGCCACTCCCATATCTTGAATAAGCTCGACGCCGAGCTAGACGACCTCGAGCTCCGAAGTGGCTTCGAGCCTGAGCCCCGGATTTGGAGTGCTCGACCTCTCCCGTTGCATGGAGCTCAAATCCCCAGATTTGGAGGGCTTGAGCTCCATTGTGACATTCCGCGACTCTGATTGTCAATTCAGAGAGCATCACATCTCAGCTGTTTGCTTATACTTCAACATATAATCAAAGTACGCTCCGAGCCAGACTCTATCGAATTCTACTTCTTGCTCGATTTCGTTGGAGCCACCGGTGCATGTCTGAAAAGATTCAATCGCATGTGTCTACGTTATGAAAGGAGAGATTTGACCGAGGGTGTCTCGCAAACTCGATGAACTTTCCATTTATAAGAACTTATTTACTCTTCGTTCTCTGTCTTAACTTCCATAGTTTATTTTGAGCACTTATAATTTTCATTTTTCTTAACGTTTGTACTGACCAATATGATCTTATGAAAGTTAGCAACCATGCGTGCGTAGCGCACACCAGTTATTGTTTTGATATGAAATTCCAATTTTGCGTAGCCCAAAATCACTTGCCTTCAGTAATGCAAGAAATGAAGTTGCCATATTCGCACTATTTCTGGCAAAACTTAGGTAGTTAACCGGTATGGATGACTATACGATCACGCTCATTCTCATATTCATAGACGTTTCAAAACTGTATGTTTTCTTGTGATGAATTATTGATAATTAATTAGATTTTCATTATACAAATTGTTTGCAAGAAATCTAGCGAGAGAGAGAGAGAGAGAGAGAGAGAGAGAGAGAGAGAGAGAGAGAGAGAGAGAGAGAGAGAGAGAGAGAGAGAGAGAGAGAGAGAGAGAGGATTTTCGTAGAGAGAGGATTTTCGTAGCCCTGCATTGGGCATGGGCATTAGGTCTCCAGCATGACCACTAAAGACCCAGCATGGGCACTAGGGTCTCGAGCCTGGGTGAGCCTAGCCTCAAGAGACCCGGGCTTGGTTTCTTTAGACCTGAGTTTGGCCTTGATTGACCCATGCCCTAGCATTAATTGCATAGGCGCGAGAGTCAAGTACCTTAGCACCGGCATTGGGGTCTTGGGCCTGGTCGAGCAACTTGGGCCCAACCTTGTGGACCCGAGGGCGACCACCAAGGAATCGAGCCCAAAGTTGATTGGCCAGGTCCTGAGCGCTAGTGACTTCGGCATGGGAACCGGATGCCTGGGCATGGCTGCCGTTAAGGGTGAGCAACTTGGACCGCCCAAACCGGGACCGAACCGGACCGGACCGGACCGACGAGTTTGGTCCGGTTCTTGGGACTATCGGTCCGGTTCCCGGTTCCTAAAAGCGGAACCGGTTTCCGGGCGGTCCGGTTCCCGGTTCCAAGGGGGAACCGGACCGGACCGACCGGACCGGACCGACTATTTAATATATATTTTTGTAATTTTTTTCTTTAAAAAAATTAATAAAATGTGAACTAAACTCTAGGTGAACTTCATTATCATAAATTCATTGATAAAAAATAGTAAAATGTAAATTAAACCCTAAGTGAACTTCATTGACATAAAATAAAAATTAGTAAAATGTGAACCAAACCTTAAGTGTTTGACAAAAAAAAAATCCTAAACTCTAAGTAACCGGTTCCCGGTCCTAGAACCAACCGGTCCGGTCCGCGGTTCCCAAAATTGGGAACCGGTTTTCTCGGTCCGGTTCCCGGTTCCACCTTGGAACCGGACCGGACCGGGAACCGCTCACCCCTAGCTGCCGTCAAGCATAGAAAATGGTGTCCCGAGCCCGTTGATGCACAAGTTCAAGATGAGCTTCAAAATAGATCGATCCTAAGAAGATCGTTGAGCGTCAAAAACAAGAAAGTCTCTTCGGATTAGTAAAGACCCTCCGATGCTTGAGTGAGTAACGGTTTGAGAAAAACCGAGAGAAAAAATGTTTAGGCAAGAAAATTCTAGATGTGAAACTGCTAGTGTTGGTTACGAATGACTTGCCTGATTTTAGTCCTCACCTTTTTATTCATAGTAGTCAAACTCTAGCCAACCACCTTTGACCTCTACGTGACATGATAAACTTTGGGTACAATCATAAGTTATACAATAGGAATTGATATTTTACCTGCCCCGTGCGGTTGGTATGTGAGAAATAAGTCATAGCTCAATAGACGGTCCAGTTTCAATTCGGTCATACTTAATCTTCTGAATTCGGACATTGGAGCTTGGACTTATCAACATGAAATCCTTGCTTTGACTCTATGAAGGTTGTTTTTTAGGTTAAGATGAAGTTTGCTCCGCTCTTATATCTCTAAAGGAAAATGACATAAACGGCCCATAAACTTTGGCTCAATGTGCAATGTGGTCCATGAACTTTTAATTTGTTTAATATGGTTCCTAAATTTTAGCTTAATATTCAATGCTGTCCCTAAAACTTTTAAATTGTTCGATGTAGTCCCTAGAGTTTTGACACATGTTCAATTTACCTAGGAGTACATATAAGCTAGATTTCATATAGTCCGGCTGCTGGCAATGATAGCTCAATCTAATCACAATGACGTAGATATTCGTAACACATGACAGATTGGATAATGAAATCAGAAATTGTTGTCCACAAATTAGGATGATCACATTATCGTCGGCATATACTACACTTTCCCTTCTTCTACAAAATATAAACAAAAGCATTTTCTCTGCTGCCACCATCGCCGCCGCCATGAACAAGAATGACGTTTTCTCAAATGGAAATGCTGTATGGAACTCCCTTCCCGGTCACGCCTGGCTCGGAGAAGGGCTTCAACAGCTCATACGGCACGACCCCAGCTCCGTTCCGATTCTTCAACTTTGGGTCAGTGTTCCTCCCATCGATGATGCCCTCAAGCTCCTTCAGCCTCCCGTTGAACCTCTCGAACGCCGCGTTTATCACCGGCTCCTCCTTCCATGCCGGTTCAGGAGCTTGTCCTAGGTACTCCTCATCCGGCGAGTGGTTTGACAACACATCGAGGATTGCCATCACCTTCGTCGCCTGTATCTGCGACGGGAAGCACGTGAGGAGCGTGCCCTCAGGCTTGTCCCAGAACCTCTTGAGCTCTTCTTCCGTCGGGTCCTCGACGGGCATCTTGGTTCGGGCGATGGTGGGCCGGTTCGGGAAGTAGCCAGCGTAGGTGTACTGGCCGAAGTTGACGGCAGCGTGGTGGCCAGAGGCGACCCAGACCATGGTGGTGATAATGTGGATGAGGTCGGACGGTGTCTTGAGGTCAGGCCACCCGGGGGAGTCTTTCTTGTCGCCGTGGCCAACGGTCCGGCTCTCAGTCCACCAAGATTGGAGCTCCTGGTCCGACGCAATGCGGCTCGGGTCGGGGTAGTAGTGGCTGACGTAGTCGGCGACCCACTCCTTGATGGTGGCCCACAAGAGGAGGCCGTCGTTAGCGAAGGGGTAGTCCTCGATCGCTAGCTTGAGGCAGTGTGGTGCCGTCGCGTCCTCCACTGCCAATCCCCTGGCAAGAATTGACACGATTAGAAAAGCATGGAAAGTGTAAAGGATGCAGTAATCATATGGCTAACTTATTCTAAGTGCGAAAAAAATGAGGTATGCAACTAATCAATTGATGTACGATACCTGCTAATCAAGTCATTGGGCAAGGCTTGTAAGTCGAATTGCCACTGCTTGTCATAGGCGACGGAGCTGAGCTCCATGGAGTACTTGCCGGGGGAGAAGGAACTCTCGATGATGCCCTCGCCGTTGATGAGAAACCCGCGAGCCAGCGCATTGATCTCCATCGTGTACCGGAAGTGCGGGTGCAACAACTTGTAGATCGGATGCATCGCGCTCAGTTGTCGGTTAGCCGCTATTATGTAGGGCTCCGTGGCGCAATGAGTCCGCAACCTGCGACGAAGGAAACCAGATGAACATCAATTGCATCACCAGCGTTTAGAAGTGATGATCGGCTTGTTTAGTTACCAGTGGCTGACAAGCTGGTGGTATCCGGAGTCGTGGGCGAGGACATGGGCCTTGGCGAGCCGCCAGAGCCACTTGCCAGTGGCGTGCCACGACGGGGTGAACACCTCCTTCCATTGTGGCTTCCCGTCATCGGTCGGCGGCCGTGTGAGCTCGATGGCAAGGGGCTTCAACGTCCCATCGGGGGTCAAGAAGAAGAGGGTCCTCGACCCGTACATGGTCCTCCCCTTGAGCTGCCTCACTTTGTTCACATACGGTAGGAAAAGGTCGTGGTAGTCCAGCATGAACAGCTTCTTTTGCTTCACGGCCTGCACAACATTGAATTGGACCGAACCGACCCGAAAAGGTGCGATTTGGGTGGAACTTCATTAATTTTTGGTTGGTTTGATTTACGTTTATGCTCGATTTTAAAGCATGGATAGGTTGTATGAGGCGATACTTCATCGAGGGAGTTTCCCTGTACCTCATTGACGGTCATAAAGCCTTTAATTTCCCGTTCAATGATCTCTGTCGTGATTGCTGATTCAGGCGGGCCATAGATCTTAGGGTCGAGCTTGCTCTTTAAGGGCCACTCCTGAGAATACAATTTAACACCACTTATTTATTAATTTTCTAGGAAAATTTATCATCATGGATTCAAATTAATTGTATGTGAGCAGATTATACAGTTGGGTGCATGATACATATAATTATTACCGTGACCAATTGGATCGTGTAGGGGTTAATTCCCGCTAGGGTCTGACGAGCAAACTCATCGTCACTAAACCAAAAAAATCTGTCTCCTGCACACGGTGAAACAACTCGGCTGATTGTTATGCATCAGAAATCACGGAGAGAGGGAGAGGGAAAGAGTTTGCTCACGGTTCATGGTTTCGGGGGTTTCGAAGCGCAAGACATCTTCGGCGGCATCGGTGGCCGCCTTGACGAGCCGAGGTATGAGGTCCTTGAAGAAGCCTTGCTTCTGCAGCGGGGGCAAGTTGACGCCTTCGTTGAAGAGCTCGTCGATGGAGGTAAAGTAGGGGAACCCCAGGTCGGCGTCGACTATCGCCGTCTCGAGCGACGGCACCAGCGCGTGCACCACCGAGTACACCGTCTTCGCCGAGAACGTCAATTCCTTTATCGTCGAGAACTCTTCGTCTCGAGGCACGTATATGCTCCCGCTCCTCGATTCAGACTGTGGATCTGCTTGACATTATATGTGAATGTTTAACACTAGCTAACAATACACTGAGCTTGTAAATTATCATCTGAAGAAACGTGTAGTTATAATCAATTGATAGAAATTATGAATGCCAGATGTTTTTGTGACTATGGTTTCGCGAGAGAATAATACAAAAGTTCCTTTCCCAATTTTTTATCAATTTTTTGGACTCCCTCTCTCTCGATAAAAAAATATACGAATCGGCATTCGCCACGTCAGCTTCTCATCAAGAGTAGGAAGAGACAAAGGAATTTCACCTTAGGACAGGTTATTATGGAGTGCATTTCAAGTCCAAAAAGAACTTTATTCAAATCATTCATGTGGCCGACAAGAAAAATCATGCGAATGGGCCTTGTTCAAATCTGAAGTTGTGTTAAGTTATTCATTATTATGAAGTGATAACAATAATTTCTCAGCTCAGCATAGACCTGTCAAACGGGTGAATCGGGTCTGGTCATAAATTGTCCGACCCAAATTGATCAATTAACCCGTTTATAACCATTTTATTCGTAATGTAAATTTCTCGACCCAACATTTACCTTACCTGACTCATATTGCTAAAACACTTTCATATTTCACTCAATCTAAGAAAACTTGTTTCTTATGATTTTTTTCAAAAAAAATTGTATCGTTAAAACACATACAAGCAATGCAAATCTAGCAGATAATATTTATAATTTTTTTAAAATTTTGAATTTTTATATTTTATGTATTTTTTCTGTTTTCTTTTCTTTCTTTTCCTTTTTTTTTTCTTTCTACGTTCGACAGGAAATAAAATAAAAAATTATTAAAAACTCAGAAAATTTAAAAAAAAATTTAAAATGATATGTTTATGATTCACTTAGCGTTAGGTAACACATTTATGACCCATTTCAAACCCATTGAGTTTTTAGGTAACCCATATATGACTCACACCATTAAAAATAAGTTTAAATATGGGTTCTAAACTCATTTTGCCACCTCTACTCACCGGTCTCGCACCGAGGGCGCCCTGTCCGACATCGTCTGGGGTACGGAAACTCTTTGCTACCGAGCACAGGTCTCTTCTTATCCGCGCCGCTGTCCGGATTTCCAAGATCGTTGTAGACATCGTAATCGTATATCCTCTCATACGACTTCCTCTCGCCTTTGCCATTCCCTCGTAGGATCACCAGCTCCTCCTCTCTCAGTCTCCTCAGCCCACTCGGCGTTTCTGTCGGCAAATAGCACTGCCGCCACAAGCAGGCGCAACATTGAAAACAAAAACAATCAAGCTCCAAGTTGAACCTATCTAAACATTACTCAACAATTCAGATAATAATCATCGACTCTCTCTATCTCTAATTAATTTTCTTATATGACTGAATTTCTTTCTCAAGTTTAGGGTATCGGGCACCTGTCACACAAGCTGTCTTTGATTTTTCTTCTTAAAAAGGACACTGTAGAGGCGAGAGAGAGTTGAAAGACTCTGTCTTTCACTACCTAGTTGCTGTTGGGGCGTTGTACTTGGTGGTCTCGAGTCCTCGACTCAAAAGAAGTAACACCAGCTTTCATCTGTACTGTGAGTCCTAAAAGCTGTCTTTGATTTTTCTCCTTAAAAACGGACACTGGGGAGAAGGACCGGGGGGGGTTGGTGTGTGGTGGTGTGAGAAAGTTAAAAGACTTACATGAATGTAGACGCTTTTCGTTCACGTGCATGGTACGTTAGTTTCACCAGTCCTTGCTGTAGGGTCATTTCAAGAACTTTACCAATGGTCATAATGATGTTGGTTTTCATTTGAACCCCATTTTTTTCTTGTCCAAGTTAGAATTTTACCTCCAATGACGCCTTGAGATAACTTTGATGTTACCTGTTTAGTACTGTTTGGCGATTACAGCTAATTAATGCGATTAAAGTTGCATTTCATGACACATGAGATAATTGATTCACTCGCTCTCTGCACAAGTACTCTCGTTTTTGACAATCCTCTCCTCCTTAAGTGCCTTCAAGCGTGTCACAACAGTATCATACTTAATATTAAGCAGTTTCCAATTTTCAAGTATCACATATGGATACTATCTATTCAAGTCATAATCCTAAATGGTCCTGATCTTTTCTTATGTGTAATAACCTCAGGAAAAATGATGAGAAAAACTCTAGATAGGAAACTATGTAGCTATGGGTATGATCTGACCTTATTAGTGAAAAAGACCCTCTTTTGTGGGTTATCGAATTTGGAGTGAACCCATGAGTTGCATGTGATGCTAAGAGGACCGGCCACGAACCCGTCAAGGACGATGTCCTTGAGGTGCATCTCCTTGTGGTGCTCATTTTCCACCAAAATAGCCCCGACCTCCCCGAATTCCTCTCCGACCTTGAACTCACACTCGTACATCACCTCGTCCTTGTTCTGGCCCTTCTTGCGCGCGTACCCTTTGATTGTCCCCTTCTCTTGTCCCGTCTCTGTCAACAAAGTTCAGAAAATCAGGACTGTGTTTAAATCTTCGACATCGTGGATACAAGAGATTGATACTTTGAATAGCATAACAGGATCGAAATCATAGTTGGCTCTCGCACACCAGGGGAGGGCTAGGGTTTGGTGTTAGGAAGCTGTAATTAAGCCGCGAAAGTATATGGGAGCGAATCTCTAACAAAAGATCGTCGAATCGGGGGCTCAGAGCTGAATATTTCTTCGAAGAGATAATGTTCGATTTCGAGAGATCGCTTTCGGCTTGACTATTGACATTTGGCTGCTGTTTTTGGATTTATTTCATCTTCGAGGGACCATTCTAGAGTTTTTTTATCCCGAACATGATGTTCGATTCACTCTGCAAAAATCTAGGAAATGTCGCTCCCTTCTTGTCCGAGATGCTCTCTAATTAAAGCGGGCTAGAACCATCTCTCTCTCTCTCTCTCTCTCAAATGCAAGATCATGGCTTAGAATCCAAGATTTGCGTTGGACCATGATAAATATGGGCAAAAATCAATCAGATGTTGTAGAGTGTGGTACTTGAAAATATGTTTTTTTTATGGTAAAGATCCTGATCTCTAACTCTGAGATGTGTGTACCTACCGAACAATGACTTATTTCTTTATATGTATGTAGTTCAAACATGCGGACTGATTAAGTGGCTGATTTTCTCATTGTAACACAGACAATTACTTTATAGAAAAAATGTAATTGGCTTGTCGCGCCATGTTTTGCAAGATACTTGTTGTATTCGATACTTTTTGCAACTTTAGAGAAAAGATCAACATAACAGGATAATTAGAGAATTAGTCCATAACATTTTGACCACTGGTCAATTGAGTTCTTAACGTTTTACGTTGGTCCATTAAGTTCTTAACATTTGAAAAAAAAAACGTGCAACCAAGTCCTAATTAAAGGTTTCCGATGTTGGAAATCGTACTTGGCTTCCACTAGCCTCTGTTCTAATGCCACATGGCCACGGATTTGAGAGTCATAAAAAGTTTCTAGCGTTGAAATTACGTTGATGGTAAGCTCAGAACTTGATTGAACATATTTTAAAATGTTAAGAACTTAATTAACCAAACATAAAACACAAAGGGCTAAATTCACCAATGACTAAAATGTTAATGAATAATTTTGTACTTATTCCCTAAGTGAACATCATATTATATCATAGATTGAAAATCTGTATACATATAGTAAAGCAATTTGCTTGATAACTGGAAAAACTTCTCCAAATCATAGATTAATCGTAGATCAAGATTTTCTAGACATATATATATACTCTAGTAATGTGGATTAATAACAAGAAAAGAAGACCTCTATTAATATATTATTTTTCACATATAGTACTAATTTGGATAACATGCATCAGATCTTTTAATACAAACCTACGTCCACAGACAATTTAATTATGGAATGTTTGTGAATTAAACTATCAAACATCGTTGCTTGTTGCAAGTTATAAACAAACTTATCTGACATTTTCCCTAGACCTGAAAAAAGGTATTTTACTCTTACAAAAATTGTTAAAAATACATATATGATTCAAAAATCTTCATCTTTGCTCTTTGAAAAATTTCAAATGTTTCGCCTAAAATGAAAGTCAAATTATGAACATCGCAAAATTTCTAAAAATTAAAAACAAAAGGTCTCAATCAAGTCCTGCCTATTTCTACCCCAACTTTCAAGTTGCCTTAACCAGTTCAAGTTTAAAACTGAATGCTCAATACTTACTGGGGTCGAGCTCTGCACTAACAAGCTCCAAGAGGAGCGTTTTCCCCACCAAATCAGTAATGTCATCGAGCCCCCGGTTTATCCCGATTTCTGAGAACAGCCCACCAGCGCTCGGTTTCACGGTTACCACCGCTTTAACCGACAGCGACTTCTCGGTGGCGCTCTGGCTCGCTACCGCCTTGATCTTTCTTGAGGCACGCCCCAATCGAGCGCTTCTACGGCTCTTTCGGAGCTCAGGCACTGACAGTACCGGTAACATCGCGATCCCGCCATTGCCTTGGCAAAATGGCTTGCTTAAGGGGAACAAGGCTGGGGAGGCGGATCGGGATTGATGGAGCTGTGGCTTCAGCATGATGATGGTGGTGATGATCTTTTCTGGTGCGTTCTTGAAGGAGAGATGTGAAAGAAAGGGAGTGTTATTGAGACTTTGGTTTGATGGGGTTTTGGAGAGTTGGCGTAGTGGTTTTTATAGAGGGAGGGGCAGAAGAAAAATAGGGCATGTGCTCTCTTATGATTCTTGTTTTGGGCTTTGTTTTGCCGTAAATGCAGGAGCATGGCCCGTGAAAATGACGTAGGAAATGGGATAAGAGGAGGAGATCAGACGATAAAGTAGACTTGTCATCTTAGTGAAATAGACTCTGCAGGATCTGCAGTGCAAAGATATTTCAAAGACTAGAAAAAAATCAATCATTAATATCACGGAAAATTCTAAAATCGGTATACTTATGACAAATTTATTCAAAACTAAATTTTTTATCACCAAAAATTTTATACTAATACATTTGTGACAAATTTACCATCCGTTAGTTTCTGTTAATTAGATTAATACCATAAAAAATCGCAAACTGTTACATTTATGACAAACGGAGGGTAAATCTCAAACTGGTACACCCATCAACAATGACATGTCATCCAACTCAGTAATTTGACAGTAAAATTTAACGAAAACTAATTGAGGATAAAATTATTACAAGTGTACTAATTTGAAATTTTTGGTAATAAAAAAATTAGTTATATGTACCAGTTTGAATTTTTTTTGTGGTATTAGCCTAAAAACTCAAAAAGTATATGTGATGAAAGAGATTGTTTTGGACCAACCTGGAAAATTTGAGATATACTTGACCCGGCGTTAATCTTCCACCACTTAAATCATTGAGGTATATGCCCTCTTCTTCTGTTTGGAAGAGACTCATAATCTTAGAAAATCGCACGTCCTGTGTTTTGCTAGTCGTGGATATTTGATGTGAGAGCTATCAGGTTGTTGAATTATTGCTTGATCATCTTCGACCATTGGTTATCTTGACATTTCGTGTTCTTATGCTTGCTAAACGTGTCGTGCATTCGTTTGTCATGTCTTTGACTATTTGTTATCTTGACACTACTCAGATAAAGTTTTGTCTTCTCACCGATTGAGATGTATTTATAAGTTATGTTAGGAAAGTCCTATATTGAAGTAGTGTGGAGCAATTAATATGTCATAATTGACTCATAACTCATTGGCTTAAGTTTTTTTGTGATGGTGGGTTAAACTGACGGACTCATACTTGATCTCCCCAGGTGAAGATATTGGATTTTTACGCGCATTCTTAATAGATGGTATCAGAGCCGATAGCTAATTGGTAGCCCACTCTAATGTGTATCAGTATTTGGTGAATAAATCTCGTGGCCAACGCGGTTTTCAAGCAGAGGTGGACGTCGTGGTGTAGCAACGTGATCCCGATGGGAATAACATGTTGATATAGAAAGAATACATGAATTAAGGGGAACATGTTTAACAATGAACTTACATGTGAAGGGGGAGATTTGTTAAAATGCACGCGTGAGTTGTGTTATAAAAAATTATAGATCGGAGAATTAGTGTGGTGTATTGTGAAGCAGTTAATTTATCTTAGTTTGCCAATTATCCATTGATTTAAACTTTTAAGTGTAAGTGGATCAAACTGAATATATTGACAAGTGCTAACTTAGACTCCCTTTTAGTGATCTCCCAGATGAAGGTATAGTTTCTATCATGTGCTCCCATCGTCACCCTCCCGAATCTAGGTTTTTTCGCCACATATTGTTCTATCTCGGTCTTTCTTTAAGAATCTTAGACATTCTTTTGCACAAACTTTTGGGTCGTCATACGGATAGGGTTAGGGTCAAACTAATCGACGGGCTCTACGTGTGACCTGCATAAACAAGTGCATATCCGTTATTTGATGTTCATAATTCAACGACACGGCCACTTGCAACACCACGTTGGACAATCTTTGAAGAAAGTTAAAGACCGTTTCCAACTTATGGAAATTGACCTCAAAGTCAAACCTTTTAATCTGTACAATTTTCAGCTTTTTAATTGTGTGGAATCATGTAAATTCATCATCAACATGTTTATCATGCAGGCGTGATTACTGAGATGACAACTTTTTAATATTAGAAGTATGTTGGAAAAAGAAAAAAGGTTAGTGAAACGTGCGATTTAGTAAGTCAAAAAGATATGAGTAGTTTTATTATTTTTATAATAAAAAAAAACTAACTATTCACATCGACGACAATGGACGCAGGACGTGTAGAAAAAAGTTACATAACTGGTGTATGTATTTGATATTTATTCTTAGCGGATTTATAGTGGCTACAAAACATGTGACCCTTTTTTCTACGTATCACCATTGCCATGAGTAGTTTTTTTTTTTTTTTGGTTGGTACCACGAAAAATCTTAAACTAGTATACTAGTGACAAATTTACTCCAAACTATTTTTTTATCATCAAAAATCTCAAATTGGTATTCGCATGACATATTTATCCTCCATTAGCTTCCATTAAATATTGCCGTTAATTATTGGCACATGTGGATCAATTAACGGGTTAATACTACGAAAAACTCTAAGCTGGTACACATGTGATGAATTTACTCCAAATTTATATATCTGTAATAAATTTACCCCAAATTAATTTTTGGGTCACCAAAAATTTCAAACTGGTATACGCTTGACACATTTACCTTCTATTAGCTTCCAACAAATTTTACCTTATGGTCTCCGTTAGCTTCCATCAAATTGTCACGTGTAAAATTATGGTCTCACCCACATAATCAAGTGCCTCGAAGCAAGTTCATGCTAATCATTTGGGTAAAATTTAACGGTAAAATTTGACTATATGTGAATGCCTTTTTGTAAATGATTTAATTAATTGATTAGATAATTGGTTAATGGTATTCGATATGTTATGTGCTTTTTTCCTGTAAATTTGTCTATGGTGATATTGTAAAGTACTCCTTTCCTAAAGAGTGCAAATCCGTGGGACAGTTCCCACTTGGTTATATTGTTCCTTTGGGCCCCTAAGATTACCAGTTGCAGTTCTTATACCTCACTCGAGTTATCTATGCTCATTTTTGTTAGGTTTTTTCCTTGCACCAGTGACTTCAGATCATGTAGCCCACCTTAAAGTCTAAATGCGCAACTCCTCAAACTAGCAATTTACTGTCCTAAATCTACATCTTGTGTGCTTCTTCTCGTGAGTATATATGGTCTTTCTTTATAAATATCGTGGCCCGTGTAGATGAGGTATCCACACAAGCATGTGGCGTTCTTCTCACAGGGAATACCAAAGAGGTTCATGAGAAAATATGGAAAATTGCCAAAAAAATCCTAAATCTATTGCAATTATGCAAATTCGATCGTAAACTTTTTTTTCTAATTGAGTTCTAAATTTTTTGCATTTGTGCCAATTCAATCCATCCTGCCTATTTTGGCCGACCGGCGCTGACGTAGACGCCAGTCATCCTACGTCTATGTGGCACCAACGGCACTGATGTGGATAATTTTTTATAATATTTTAATATATTTCAAATTTTTTATTCTTATTCTTTTTTTTTTCTTCCCTTCTTCTTCGTCTTATAATCGGTCGCCGGACCTCAACAACTAGCCAAAGGTGAGGACTGGCAGGGGGCGAGCCTCACCATAACCGGGCAAGACTTGACCTTGCAATTAAGATCTAGCAAGGTCGTGCCTCGCCTAGTCCTCTAGCAAGTTCACGGCCTTGACCTAGCGGCCTCTGGCAAGTGCTCAAGCCTCGCTAGTGGTTGGGCAAGGGATGACTCGCCCATGGCCAGTAAGGTTCGACCCTCGCCAGATACGGTGAGGCTACCCTTGTGGCCTCTAGCGAGGGAGCCCTCGCAAGGTCGTGCCTCGCCTAGCCAATGTGAGGCTCGTCCGAGGCTGGCAAGACCTCGCGTGTCCTCATCTCCGGCCGATCGCCGAACCTCGGCGATCGGCTAGAGGAAGAAGAAGTTGGGAAGAAAAAGAAAACAAAAAAAGAATAAATAATTCAAAAATATTAAAATGTTATTAAAAATTATCCATGTAAGCGTCGACGGTGCCACGTAGAACAGCCGGCATCCATGTCAGCCGGCTAGCCAAAGTTGGCTAGATAGACTGAATTGGCACAAATACAAAAGGTTTAGGACTCAATCGACAAAAAAAAAAAATTTAGACTGAATTGACATAGTTGCAATAAGTTTAGGACTTTTTTGTTAATCTTCCTTGAGAAAATATGGTGAAGATCTTTTAGTGTCCCGTGGAATTGGAAAAATGTGATGAGATAGTTTTGTTATCAAATGGTTGGAATGAATTTGGAAAGCATTACTCTATTTGTGAGGGCCAATTTTTGGTCATCAAATCTAAAGGGGACTCCATTTTCCATGTAATCGTATTTGATAAAACCCCGTCCAGGATATGAATATCCGCCAATGAATGCCGATGTCAGGAACCGAGCCTCCCACAATTCCTGAATAGAAAATGCGTCAATTATACAAAAGTCGAGCGTCTTTGGATTTTCTAATTTCGGACGGTGAATCACGTGCTTCCAATGCAAACGTGAACCGTACAAATGAAATCTAGGAGTTCAGAGAGCTCACGCAAATTTAAACATCAATCACCTTCGATACTTGGAACTATTCACTAAATAATGAAGCTTACGTGGAGGACCGACCTAATGGAAAATCGACACATGGTGCGAACCCAATCGAGATCATCCCTAGAATTGGGCTCACGTACCCCACTTTTTCCCATACGCTTTTATTGCCGATAGAAACGATACGATAACTTCTCTGCTTTTTTTGTATAATTTTTCATCTTCCCTCGTCGTCTTATCTTTAATTAGTTTTGATATAATTGTGATAGGACCTGCGCTTTCCGGTCCATAGACAAGATTCGGGCAGACAGCATTGCACCCAACCTGTCTGCACGATAGGAATGCCCCACGAGGTAAAACACGAATTACCTAGATAAAATTTGAACCTGACATGACACAACACACTCGATTTTATACGAATTAACACATTTTCATTGTAATTCAACTATTTGGCAAGTAGAATTAAAGTTGTTACGTGTCGACACGAACACAGAATACATTGATGCATTACAAATAAGGGTAAACCTTTTAGGTCCAATCACATTAAATAT